TTTTATTATTTTTTTTAATTGTTTTTTCTAATTCTTTACGATTTTTTTCTATCTTTTTTTGTTGTTCAATTGTAATTATTTTTATATTTTTTATGTGTCATTCTTTTGTGTTATAAGGCATACTTTTTTTAATTTCTTAAGCATGAATATTATTAAGTTGTTCAACTCCAATTTCACAGCAAGTAAATAGGTTATTAAATCCATCTTTATTATTTTCAATTGTTTCTTTAAATATTTCATGAGTAGATAGATCTGTAAGATTAAAAACATTAGTAAGTTAATTAACTAAATCCCAAAGAGCTTCTTTACAAGACTTTATAGCATGATTATTTTGAATTAAAATATTTTCTCTAACATATTCACTTAAGAATACGTCTAATCTTTCTCATTCTGATTGTACAGAACTTATTCGCTGTTTCAAATCTTCTCTATTACCAGGATTTTTTTCAATATTTTATTTTATATACTTTACGCTAAATCTTTCCAATGCTTCATCAAAAGCAAAAAAAATGACCTGAACTAGTAAGATTGATAGAATATGCATGATGAAGTAATAATTGTAAAGATGGGTTTTTAAAAATAATATATAAAAAATGAGTAACTAATCTTGCATAGTTACTTTTTCCCGCTACAGGAAAAAGTGGAGTAAATGCAATCAAATTTTCAAATTGCATATTGTAATAACTATATTGAATTCCTATTTTATACTTTATTCAAAACAAAAATATAAATATCATACTTTCATTATATAGTTATTATCATTTTAAATAATGTCATTAAAGGTTTGATTTTTGTGTTTCAAAATTTGATTCAAAGAAATTCCAACTGCTACCCATATTAATTCTAAGATACAGCATGTCACTTGATAATCTACTACCTTCTCTAATTTATCTAAATAGCGAACACTAATACAAGCCATTAAATTAAAAATTCCATATCCTGAAAAAATAGTGATCAAAGTGATACACATTTCTTTACTTGTATGCTATGCATCAAGTAAGTTTCAATTCAGGTTTTTGTTCTTAATAAGAAATTAATCAACAAAAGATCGCTTCATCACAAGCTACATCGATATTTTTATAGTCACCATTTTTTTGGAAAAACATTTTTAAAATACATGTCACAAGTATCGTATATAACCTCATTATTACGTGAATTTTCACTAGATTCTAAAATAATTATATTGAGTGGTAATAATTTACATCCTAATTCAACATCTTTAACTAATTCCTGATAAACTGTATTCACATTGAAGTTCATTTCATAAATTTTTAATAAATTGCCAATTTTATTTTCAAAGTTTTGAATTTTATTTTCTATAAACTGTGATGAACCAATTTAAATAGTTTTTTTTTCAATATAACTGGTCTCTTTTATAATTGACTGAAGAGGAACTGGTAATTTAAATTGAAAAACTATTTGTAATGTTGCATGTGCTATTGCTCAAGTCATATCATATATATTACCATAGGCAAATGATCATTCTTTAAAGTCTATATTATCAATCACACAAATGTTCTATATGTTTTTATCTTGCTGCAACCTTTCTTCAAGTTTAATTTTACCTATTCTTATTTTTTCTAATCTTCTTTCATGATATTGAGTATAGGAAACTACACTTACTATACACAAAATTGTGTAAAGAGAACTTAACAAATTTGGTTTTCAACATAAAGAATTCATAATATAAGTAAGCTATACATCAACTCCTGGAAATGTGATTGATAAAACCATTGAAATAATAAAAACTGATATTTTTATTGAACGAGTTTTATCAAATTTTTTTGGTAGTTGTCCTCTTTGCTTTCATCTTTTTTCTACAATATCATATTTTTTTTATAAACAGGTTATAAATCCATCAAAAATTCTTTTAAAATTACTGGAAAACCACTTTGATATTTCTCAAGTGATTGTGGTACTTCAAGTTTCTTTTTTTTCACGAACTTCTGAACGTGATTTTCATGTACATATTCCAAAAGTTTCTCCAATTTTTTTGATTGCTCTTTCAATAAATTAATAATTGAATATTCGTTATTTAATAGTTTTAAATTTATTTTTGCTAAACGTAATGTAGTTTTAATTGACAATAAACTTGGAATCACTTCTTTTAACATTATCATTTTTTTGTTTTACTTTTTTAATAACTATACTAATTACTGCGCTTATTTCTATTAATAAAATATTTTTCATTTTATCGTTATCTGATTCAGTCACATTTGAAATCCATTGTTCTAATAATTTAAGAGCATTAATAGTATCATGATTATGTTCTTTCTAACAGGAAAAACCTTTGTACCACTTTCTTTATACTCAAAAAATGATCACCTTCTGTTTGAAAACATACTGAATATATATAACATGCTGCTTGATTTGTATATCATTATTTTTTTTAGAAATTCTATTTTCATCATTAAAAGCTGAACACACTTGGAGTCCTACGCAAGGTACTTATATATTTCAGTTTATAATATTCACAGAATACTCTATACAACTCTCATCACATCTAAAAAATATTTATCTTTGTAGCAAAAAAGACATTGACATCAGTAAATATAACTTTCTTCTACTGATCGTGTTTGTTTTTGATTTTTTTTATGTAATCAATTTTGATTAAATGTAAAATGTGATATACAGATATCTAAAGTATGTAACATAGTTTCAGAATTAGTTTGACTAATCACAGTTCTATCAACTTCCTACATTCCTATTAATTGTCGAAGAGAACGAAGAGTATATTCTAGCTTTACATAATTTGAACAACGTTTTATTTGTCCATCGAAAATATCTATCAATACACATAGAATAAGATTTTTACACTCAATATCACTTATTAGATAGTTTTCATCAAAACTAATTGTTGAACTTTTTTCAATAGAATCTTTTTCAATCGAGTCCATGTCCTCCCATGCTATATTGATATTAACTTCATTATATTTATCTAAACTAGCTTTTTCTTTAACATTTTGAAATGCTTTATAATTGAACAAAAATTCATGAGTATTTTCACTATTGCTATCATTTGTAGTAGGTGTTGCAAGTATTGTCAGTTGTAATACTATAATCATCATTCTCAAGTAAGATGTTATCCTTATCAGAATCATTACATTCAAATTCACAACTATTTATATAGTCTGCAAGAGTTCTCGTTTCCCAAAAACAGGTACTTTCATTTTCAAGAAACATTTTTTTTTTAAAAAAAAAACTTTTGATAAAGATTATTTAAGGATTATGACTATTATAAAACTTTTTGTAAAGAAACTGCTTACAAGTATATTTTTATCAACGTTAAAGTTAAAAAAAATTAAAAAAAAAAGTTGCATCTTATTTATATATTATGCTGATCATATCAAGTTTTAGAGATGCAAATCATTATCGCAAGCTATCATTATATATAGATCAATAAATTCTATATAAAAACAATTATCGTATCAATATCGACATTCTAACATTTGTTTAAGAAGCACACCATTTATAATTTTATGATCTGGTGTATTTATTTATTGATGATGCTTATCTATTTCAAATAAGCACGTTCATATTCTTCTGATTTTCCTATATAATAATAAATGTAAATTGGAAAGAATAATGATAATGAAAATAAAATAATATAATAAATATATTGAATATAAGTAAAATAAATACTTTACACATTATTCCTTATTTGTATCAATCGCTGTAATAAATATTGATATTATACCTGTCTTTGTTCTTTAGCATTCATTTTCATATTTATCTGATCAAACTGATGGTGTGAGTTCTAGGATTGCTCTCAGTGGTTAATAATACCAGTTGTGATAGTGATTGTTCGAGAAAGAAAAAAATCATAAAATATTCCTTCAGATATAATGATCAAAGAGCAATAAATGGAATTTAAATTCTAATACGTCTGATAAATACTAAGTTTTATAATGTTCTTTCTATATAATTCTTTAATAACACAGGCTCTACCTCTTTTGAATTCTCTCAAGAAGTTTTGCTAATATTCTCTTTGAGCATGAATAATGATCTAGATACATATACATCTTAGAAAATTTACTTCATGCTAAAAATTTACGCATTAATTTCTCTGAAGAACTATGAAAAGTTAGAACTTTAACACTATTACAGCACAATACTGCTCGACAACAGCGTTGGTCATATTCTCGACTATAATAAAAGAATCCTCAGCAATATATAAAGATTTTTAACTTAATTAGTAGAGCAATATCTAGAATCGCTTTGATGAATTATTTGCTTCAGAAAATTTGTTTACTAGCTATTCCAGTTACTAAAACTACTCAAAAACCCATAATTAGCCAATGAAATTAAAAAAACATACTATTAATTAGTTGATACGATTGGTTTTAAATCTATCCTTCTTATCTAAATTCCTGTTTTTTGAGTTAATAATGATAATCATATAATATCAAACCTAAATATTTTATAATTATAAAGTTAGCTTAATGATAAAAAAATATATAAATGTTCTGATTAAATATTTTAAATAAGATTGATTATCTTACTATTATCTTTTATCTATAGCAATGTATACTTTAACACTTACATATAAATGCTTTTCAAATAATGCTATCCAACTAACATAAAATTCCATTTAGTCTATACCATATATTTTGAACGGAAAATTTTATTTTTACCAGAATTTGCTTTACTCTTACCTTTAAATTGAATAATAGTATTTTTTAATATATTGTCTTATCGTTATTGAAACTCTTAAATTCAACTCACTACAATGTATATCAATATCAATATAATCCACAAAGTGTTTCTACTTTCCAGTAGCAGGCACATTTCATTCTTATCATAAAAATAACGATGATAAACTTTGAACTTTTTGAAGGAAGATCGTTTTAAGGTTTTGACTGCTACAAAATTTATTATACTATTTATTTTAAAAAACAACTTAAAGGTATATTTTTTCTTAATAGTGTAGGTATGGTTAATTTATTATATTCTTATAAAAAATGAAATAAAGTTACACTTTTTTGCTTTTTTTCGTTTTTTTATATAAAAAAATAAGTTTTTTACATTGATCGATCATGTCAATCTCCTATTAAAAAAAATAAATCTCGATTTTTGGAGACAAATTTTACTTTCATGAAATTCATATTGATACTGATACTTTAATCGATCATATCGATCTCTTAACAATGATTGATTAAAATTGATCAAAATAACAATACAATCAATATCGTAATAATTGCAACCATGAATTTTATTTTTATCAAATAACGAATAATTGATTAACGTTAACATTAATATAGAGCTCAAATATAACAATAAGGATAATTAAATACAAATCAAATCAATAATTCTGTTTTAAATTTGAATTCTACGAATAATAATGATAATGTTGCATTAACATAAAAAAAATAATGGTAAGTATTCTAATAAAGTATGTAAGAATGTCTTTCTTTCAGTTTTTTTGACTAAATACATATTGATATACATATAGTCTCCATAACAATAATCTAGTGTGACATACAATTTTGAAATATATCGCAATTTGAACTTTATAAATAAGTTGCATTATGCATACAATATCGATATCAAAACCTAATACTAAATATTTAAAATTATAAAGTTAGCATAATGATAAAAAAATGTG